GATATGTATTACATATATTAGTTTTAAATTTGGCTTCCATTATAAATATAGTTTGATATGACCTTAATGCCCTTGATAAGCGGGATTTTGACTGGCTGGGGAAGGCCAGCCCAAATGGGGGAAGGTATCTTTTACTTTTTGTTTATGCATGTGACTGTACTATATGTTAACATTTTTAACAAAGGTTTCTTAGTTTTATAATAAATGTTTTAAATAGATGAACTCAAGGTAACTATCAAAAAAGCTCAGCATGCAGAAGTGTCTGAGCATAACCAGTAGAAGAGAGGCTGAAAAGACTGACCAAATACTCTATGATAGTTCATTAAGACATTTATTCTTGAAGAAAAAACAGAATATCAAACAAATAGTGTGGTCTATATTTCACTGTGTATTCAGGAAAGCAGCACAGGAGAAAGACCGAGAAATAAATAGGGTCAAATGCCAAAAATTATCTACACTAATAAAAGAGAAACATGGTGGTCTATATTTCACTGTGTATTCAGGAAAGCAGCACAAGAGAAAGACCTAGAAATAAATAGGGTCAAATGCCAAAAATTATCTATATATATAAAAGCCTAAGCAACCAAACTACTGAACGACTGGTCACTATAATGCACACTGACCACCAGGGGGCAGCTGCTCAATGCAGGACCTTCCCCCTGGTGGTCAGTGCGCTCCCACAGCAGGAGCGCTGCTCAGCTGAGACCCACCTACCCTAAGGCAGCCACTCACTCCCTCAGTAGTCCTGCAGGTCCAATCTCCAGAGAATGGGCTAGGGCCAGGCACCGATGGATCAGCGCCACTGGCACAATCCCAACAGCGTGCCACCAGCCTCCTGAAAGTCAGCCTTGGGCATCACCGCCACTTCCCCACCCTAGATGCTCCGAAAGGAAGAAACAATTTAAAAGCATCCACCAGGTGGCTCCCGACAACCAGCGCGAATGTCAGCAGGACGGATCTAGATCCTGGGCCAGCAAGGGCATCCCACTGCCCACCCGGAGGGCCAATCTTGTCCCGCCCCCCCATTCCCCTTGGGACCCCACCCTTGCACGAATTCATGCACCGGGCCTCTGGTATAATAAAGAAAGAGAGTTTTCAAGAAGACTCCACAACAAAACAAAGCTATTGGGGTATTAGCCCTCCACTCCCAAGAGAATTTGATCACTTCTGATCAGTGATAACAACTGTGAAAATGATCTCAGAATTAATATGCCTAACTATTGGCATATGTATACCTAAAACAATTAAACTTTGAGTGTTCATTGCTAATTTATTCAAGTCAATTTCTCTAAGATTAATTACCAATATTTACTTTTTGTCATTAGCGTTTTGGTGTGTGTGTGTGTGTGTTTTTTCTTCTTTTACTCAACTTGTTTCACTAAGATTAATTACCAATATTTACTTTTTGTCATTAGCACTTTGGGGTGTGTGTGTGTGTGTGTGTGTTTTCTTGTTTTACTCAACTTGTTTCGTTTTTTTCATTTTGTTTTGTTTTGTACTTGACTTTGATATTATTTTTATCACCAAGTGGAAGACTTAGGCAATAATCCGGAAAGACAAGCTATGGAGGCCTGGGGCTATTGGGAATTCTGCAGGAAGGAGGTGAGATTCGAGCTAAAATTCAATATTTGAATACGATTTTCTTTCATTTCCAGTGGAAAGCAGAGCTAATAAAAATGTATCATTCTGCCCCTCCATGCCCACCAAAAAAATAAATAAGCCAATCATTTGTTTTTTTGGACCACCTGCCATGGTAGCTTTAGTCAGTTAGCTACGTTTATGTGTAAAACATACTTGCTTTGGTGGGTGTGGTTCAGTTGGTTGAGTGTTGTCATACACCAAAAGGTCACTGGTTCGATTCCCCGGTCAGGGCCTATACCCAGGTTTCAGGTTCAATCCCCTGTTAACGATATGTAAAGGAGACAACTGACAGATCAATGTTTCTCTCGCACATCACTGTTTCTCTCTTTCCCTCCCCCTTTCTCTCTCTCTAAAAATCAATAATAATTTTTAAAAAACATAGATTGTTGTTAATATTACTTATTAACAACATAAAATAATATGCTTTTATTATTTTAGTTTCCTAAATATTAAATGCTGTATAATCAAGCATAGTCCTACACACCGGACTTTAGAAGACATAGAAAATGCACACCTTTTGCATAAATATGGTGTCCAGCACAAGCTGCCAATGCCTCACAGAGATCAGCCCACCTCGTTCACTTCCTCTCTGATCTGATGCCCCTCTGAGCCAACCCACAGAAAGAGCCAACAAAGCAGTCGCTCATGCTTGATCCCAATAAGCTGGAATAGATATCACAACTGGTAGCAGAGATGCAAGTTACATAAACAGAGAAGAGCTTTACTGTCCACAGCTTGTAAAACTCCAGCAGGGTCACCACTCTTGCTGCTCATACACTGGCTCTCACCCACCTAGTCCCTCCCTACACCCAGTCACTCTTGTAACAAGGCTCCCCTGTGCTCACAGCTTCTATGTGGAGAAGGCCACTGGCCACCCGGGGCTTTATCTGCCCACTGTGTCATTTAGAGTCTTGCCTCCCAGCGTCCTCTATGTCCTGCACTCGGCATCCGCTGTCACCATTATCGTTCCCCGCTCTTTCTGTAAAATACCACGTCCCTAGTCCTACTTACACCTGCAAAGCTGAAGCTGCAGGTGTTTATCTGTACAGAAGTCACCAGCCGGCAGTGCAAGTCAGGGCAGTTCCCCCAGCAGCAGAAATTAATATGCACGGGAGTTCCAGGCTCAGGCAGTGTTTCTTTCCAATTATATTTACTCATTTTCGTGAGGTGTTATTTAATTTCTGAGGTTTCATGATAAATTGTACCGAAGCCATTCAGTTCCCTAACGCAATTTGTGATTCCGTTATGTGAAAAGACACTGCATTAAATAAAAATTAGTCTTAATATTAGGCCTCTCTGTTCTCTAAGCAGGAAACTCATCGCAAAGCCATTCTCATTTACAGTAATACATCTCTGCTTTGAAAACCGTGATAGCAAAAAGTGTGCAAAGGAGAAGGAAACTGTGCTTCAAAATGTCAAACAACATCTGTTTCCCATTTCTGAGAATTACAGAGCTTTCTCCAGCCCTTTAACCCTTTAGCCCACATTGTATCTGCCCCTTCGTAGTTTATTAGCTTTATCTTCAGAAGCCTTTCAGTAAAATGAAACCTGATATAGAAAGTGAATCTCTGCCTTAAGTTCTCTCCAAGGATTAGGGACGAGATTTATTAGAACAACACCGCTCATGCTGTGAGCCTGTAAGGTTGTGTCAACATTTCAATTATAAACCTGTGCTTCCAGGGGCGTGTTCACAGTCTGTTGAAAAAAATTAATAATTCCCCAGCTTCAAATTTGGAACGTGGGATAGTCATTTGAGGATCCGTGCTTGGTTTATTCAAATTTTTAAAAGCTGCATGCGCTTGACCTTTCCTAGTGTGGAAAATTATATCCATGAAAGTTTTGTACTCAAGACTGTATCCCACAGTTAAAGCAAAAAAATGTAATCATGAGAATGATAACTTCTATAATTAGTTATATAATTAGAGCAAAAGAATCTAAAGGTGATCATGCTGGGACACTGCAAAATGAGTCAGTATTTGAACATTTATGGTGAGAACAAGGCAGGAGCTATTTTGTCACATGCAGTCATAGGTCTGTGACATTGTTCTTCCAGCTGTCACTGTAGGTCCCCCAGGCAGCTGTGCTTTCTCCTAAGTGGTCTGCAACAAGCCCCCTGACATCTAAAAGAACAATGGCTTAGGTGACTGGCAGAAAGGCATGGAGGATCCAGGGCAACCTGCAAAACAGCGGTGAATGGATGAGTTCATCTTTGGTGCCCTCCTCCTCACACTCCGTCGCCCTTCTCTGATGCTCCATGTCCTCTGTCTCTCCTCACACTGTCCCCTTAGCCTGTCATCCCAAATCATGGCTCTGGCTCTGAGACTTCCTCCTTTCACCTTCCTTGCCACCTGACACCACCCCCCAGTCAAAACTCACCTGCTACCCACTTGATGGATCGAGAGCCACCTTTAAGGTTAGAAAGGATCTACTGGGTTCTTCCTTATTTACTGGCAGCTGCTAAGTCTTCGATGTTTGTCTGTCTCAGAGTTTTGTACTTTTGAAAGGAGCATAGCTGGTGGAATGTGAGGCTTCCTTCTCTACAGGGGCAATGAGAAGGCTTTTTTAAGAAAGAAGTCTAAAGCTCTCTTCAAATAACATTGCGTAGGCAACAACAGACTTCTATAATTAAGAGATTTAATTAATTTCCCATTTTTCTACACCATGTAGAGAATTGATCATAAAATCTAAGTCCCATACGGTCAGGGCTTTGCCTCTTTGTCTTCTGCTAAACACCCTAGCACTTAAGTCATTGTAGATATTCAATAACTATCCAGTGAATGGAGGAATAAAGAAAAATGAATATATCAACTGCTTCTTTATCAGCTGGGAGAGCCTTAGTAACAAGTAACTTGCAAACACATTTCCTCAACACAGAAAAAAGCTATTACAGTAAAGAACTGATTACCTATATATTGGCATCTGCAGTGGTGTGATGAAGAAAAATATTACATAAGAAATAAGTGAGTAATTAAGAGAAATACCCAAGAGCAATGTTTTTTTTCTTTTTCTGACTTTTAAATATCACTCAAACCTTTACAATGTAGAATTTGAAACTGAAAGAAAGGTTAACTTTTCTGTCTCACCTCGTGCACCTCCTATGTCTCAAATATAAAAAATATCTAAGAAATTAGTATTTTAAAAAATACACTGTGTTTTGCTAATGTTACTAACCAGACTGTAAGTGCCTTGAAGGTAAGCAGGTACAATTTCTCATTCATTTTTATACATACAAATGTCCAGATGGTGGTAACACAGAGAACATGTTTAATAAAAATGTGTGACTGATGGCTTCTTTAGAGTCAAGACTCCCTCTTCACCTCTCCTCTGCAGCACACATCTTCCCGAGACTTCTAAGGAGCATCGAATCAGCTTTCATTTTCAGCTACTCTCTACTGAGGCTCAGATAGAGTGAGAGGAGATCAAAGGAGGTGAGACAAAAAGAGAAACGGTCTGACAGTAAGATCTTCTAAGTATTTAGACAATATGAGTGAGGCATCTTCGTGTATTGCTTATCTGTAGTGTTTTTTTTATAATAGACAAGAATTACCTCTTTGAAGAAAATGATGTATTCATTGTCTAATCAAGTCTCCTGCCACTGTGAGCTGAGCAACTTCACTTGGCCACTTAGCCACTCTTGGTCCACCTCTCCCCTTGTACCTTTAGAACAGCTAGACCAGATGGTCTCAAAACTATTTCCAGAGCTGATATGTCATGTTACTGCAAATATCTTCTGTTATTTCTATGTGGCTTTTCTGGAGCGCCCAAAGTGCACTCAAGTTCCCTGTTAATCGAATTCTACCTCAATTAGCCGACAGAGTTCTGATGTTTTCCACGGAAAGTAAGGGTACTCATTGCCTAGAAGTTGCCCTTTTCTGGCCCATTGCAGTGAGGGAGACCAAAAAAGCATTGTGCTCCTAGGTATTTATGTCCTTAGTCTTAATAGCAGTTTCTTCATGAGAATAAGAAAAACAAAATCTCCACGCCCTGGCAAAATCAGTCTAATTTCATCCCAGCAAGTAACAACAACAAAAGCAGGGCTTTTTTTTTTTTTTAATTAAATTCTTTCAAGCCGTGTGGAGCAATACTGCTGAGTAGATCTTGCAAGAAGAGATAATTAAAACACAAACAAACTAGTTTTTACATTTGGAATGGCAACCACTGCACATGCTCAGGACGGCCATCCCTCACACACTCCCAAAGGATCCTTAGTATACAGACTGAGTCAACTTTACAAATAGGTTCAGTAGTTTGCTAGTGAACTGCAAACCCCTCCACACTGGGCATCAGGCAGGATATCTCTGGAAAGTCAGACTTTTCTGAGATTTTTCCACTGGAACTGGGTAAATGAAATGATCCCTTTGGCATCACAACAGACTGATGGGTCTCAAAAAAAGAGCTTTCTGCCCTGGCTGGTGGTTAGAGCATAGACTCATGCACGGAAGTGTCTCAGGCTCGATTCCCTGCCAAGGGCACGTACCTGGGGCGTGTGTGGGAGACAATGAGTAGCTGTGTCTCTCTCACATAGAGGTTTCTCTCTCTCACTCCCCCGTGCCTCCTTCTCTCCCTTCCACCCTCTCTAAGAAAACCCTCAGTGAGGATTAACAACAACAACCAAAAATTTAAAAAAGAGCTTTCTCATTCTGGTTGAGGTGAGACAATCAGGTATCTCTAGGCCTTTTAAAAGGGCACTAAATTGGAAGAAATAAAGGAAAATATTTACATACTTATACATGTATCTTTCCCAAAATGCTGGTAGATTCTGTTTGCAGATTCCACATGATCTGAACTGATTTGGAGTGATTAAAAATCCCACCACACCATTTACAATGTTTCTAGGGGATGGTCAGTATAGTTGTCAACCTCATGACACGTAGTAGGGTATATTGGCCTGTGTGGATTCTGTGCCCTAGCTTTAAGAAAACAAAGCATTTGGTGGGAGATAAGCTTAAATTTGAAAAAAATTTTTCTTCCTGTGTGATCTTGGAAGTCATATCCTCACTGAGTTTACATTGAAATCATATTATCATTGTATGTATTTTTTCTTATTGCAAACATGTCACGTTTGTTAGGTTTATAATAAACATAGTCAGGGCACCAAACTAGTAAAAAATAAGTAAGTGAGCAACTTCGGTGCATGAAATTACCTACGTCCTATTAGATCTCTGTAACTTGACTCTTGTGTCTTCTCTCCCAAGAAAGTCTTCCCTAATCTCATCTTCCCATCAATGCTCAGCTCATTTATTCACTCATTCATTCACTCGCCAATGCTTATTGAGTCATATTTCTATGTGCCACATGAAAATTTACTTACATCTTCTACTAGTTAAAAACAAAACCCTGACCACATCTGTTTCTCAAGCTATGGCCCTAGCTCTCTCCTTTCCTTCACAGCCAAGCCTCTAAAATGGTTGTCCTTGTAAACTTTCTTAACTTGCTCATCTTCCATAGTTACTGCTTAACTAAAACTTCTCCTACTGAGGTCATGAGTTGTCCCACGTAAATAAATCCCAATGGACAAGTCTTCATTTTACTTGACTTCTCAATAGCATTTCACACTCGTGTACCCTCACTCCTTATTTGGTTTATATGATGCCTGCTTTCAGGTTTTATTCTCCTATTTCTAGCCACTTGTTTTCAGGGCTCTGCCAATTTCTCCTCCTCTAAAGGAATTAGGATTCTACAAGGAATAGTAACCAGACATGAATGACAAATAATTCATATTAAGTATTATGAGTAACTCACAAATTAGTGGGAGGCTCAGAACTATGCGGCTAGTAAAAATACCCAAAAACATCCTAAAGGACTAGCTAGTCCTTATAGGCAAGTAACCTCTGGCAGGAAGCCAAGCACTAGACACTGACTGGTACCACCACATCCGCTGCTCCAGGGACTCAGTGTGGCTACAACTTCAATACTGGTGCACATGAAATGTGGAATCCAGTTTTGTTGCCACCCACTAATACTGACAAGAAAAATATCAACATTCTCAGCTAGGTCCTGAATCTACACCCAGTGGCAAGTGCAACCCTACCTGCAAGAAAGGCTGCAAAGTCAAGCATGTGATGTTTATGATACCTGTCATGTGAGATATCTTGTCCCCAAACAAGTTCATAAACAGTGGAATTCCACAAACACAGGAAGATAGTTTAGGGACCAGTTAGGAAAAAAAAAAAAGCATAGCCACTACTTTTCCAAATCAAATTTTGTCTTAAACTTTCTCTAAATTGACTTCTTCTTTTGCCTTGGCCAGTGTAGCTCAGTTGGTTGGAGCATCATCCCATACATCAAAAGATGGCAGGTTCAATTCCCAGTCAGGGCATAACCCCAGGTTTTGGGTACGATCCTCAGTTGGGGCGCCTGTGGGAGGCAATGACTGAGCTATCTATGTTTCTCTCTCACATTGATGTTTCTTTCTCTCTCTCTCTCTCTCTCTCTCTCTCTCTCTCTCTCCCCCCTTTTCTCTGGAATCAACTTTTTAAAATTAAAATAAAAGAAAAATAAATTGACTTCTTCTCTTGGGAAGGTTCAGATTCACATATCCACACACACGCTTGACATCTCTATTTTGATGTCTCATAGCTGTTTCGACCTTAAGAGGTCTAACTCTGAATTCTTGCTCTTCATGGCCATCTGCCTGTCTTCTTCATCTAAGTAAATAGCAATTCCATCCATCCATTTCCTTATGCCAGAAATCGGATGCCTTCCTGACATCTACTTTTTTTAAACTTCCTCATCCAATTTACAACCAACTCCTGTTAATTCTGCTTCAAAAATATGTTTCTAATTTGTTCCTCATCTCCACTGTTACCATCCTACACTAATCTACCATCATCTCATTATCTTCTTCTTGAACTATTGCAATAGCTTCATAATTGCCTTCCTGCCTTCGTTCTTGACCATATTCAAATCATTCGCCATGCAGCAACCAGAGTAATCTTATAAAGCATAAGTCGTATGATGTCACATCCTGGATCAGAATGCTAGGATAGGCTTCCATTTGAAAAAAAATTAATTTTCAACATGGCCCTTGTGATCTGATGCCTGCTGAGTGCTCCAAGTTCACCTTGGACATTATTCTTCTATCAAGGTTGTGAACTGATCTAAGCCATGCTTTTGGGGTACTGGCTTCAAATTCTGTGTGGTAAATAGCACAATCCATTAAAAAACTTTGAGGAGGGTAAATTTTTTAACTACTATCCACAACCTCACAGCTAGATTGAAATGAAAGTAAATCTAGACCAAAATCTGCCATGCATATTTATTTATTAAGTACATTTTTATTAGCAAGTATATTCATTTACTAGGGCTATCATAACAAAGTACCACAGACTGGGTATTTTAAACAACAGATGCTTACTTTTTCACAGTTTAGGAACTGAGAAGTCCAAGATCCAGGTGTCAGCAAGGTTGGTTTCATTCTGAGGCCTCTCTCCTGGGCTTGCAGATGGCCACCTTTCTGTTGTGTCCTCACACATTCATTCCTTGATCTGTGAGTCATCTGTGTCCTCATCTCATTTTAAGGATACTAGTCATATCATCTCTAAGTACAGTCACATTCCAAGGTACTAAGACTGCAACATATGAATTTGAGGCACGCGATTTAGCCCATAACAGTAGCAGAAGAACAATGTACACACTCTGTGGGTAAGCCTGCTGAAGTCCTAGCTCTGCACCCCTTTGGATAATTTGACTTCTCACTGTTTGAAAAGCCCATTGATGTGAACAACATTGCAAAGGCAGTATTCCATTAGCTATACGGGCACCAGAAAACCATAATTCTTTTTAACAAGTGGATGAACACAGAATAATTTAGGGACTTAAGTCAGAGGTCCCATTCTGGAGCCCCAAATAAATCTCTTTTCCAAGTACCATGTACTTCTTCTCAGATGGCATATGACAATGTTCATCAATTATCTGTCTGTTTAATGTTGGTCACCCATAGGGTCCATGAGAGCAGGAGCTGTGTCAGTTGTGCTCACTGCTACAATCCCTGTGCATCACATTTCTTATTACTTAGTCATCCGATTTTTATTTAGCCAGCCAGTCAGTAGATGTGATTTGAGTACCTACTATGTGCCAAAAATGAAAATACATGTCTTTGCCCTCATAGAACTTACTGCCTTGTAGAGAAAGTGACTCTCAAAGGCATAATGAGAACAATCTCTGACCTTGGCCCAGGAAGGAACTAGTTTCTCTCCCAGGACTCCTGTATCCAGTCATATTGGTCACACTAAGATATTTACTTACTTTCCTCTTCAATGGACTGTAAGTTTGAGAGCAGAGACATTTTTTGTATTGCTTCTTTATCCTCAGTATGTAGCTTAAATGCTAGACACATAGTAGGTCTTCAGTCAATGATTGTTGAGTAAAATCCAAAATGCAAATGGTGGGATAGCTAATCAATAAAATGCTGAAATTAAAAATAATA